GTAGGATTTATCTCTAGGTGAGCAAATCGTGTTACACATAAATCATTAAGCTCTATTTCAGCTGGAGATAAAGGTATAAAGATAAAGCTTTCATCCCAGGCATGGGTTGTGAAGGGAGGGAGCTTGTTCTGGTGGCACTTTGGCTCCCCAGCAATAACCTCATGAAACAAAGGTCATAGCATGGAGGCATTTTCCATGGTTACAGGGTGACTTTCACCGATGAGCAAGGAGGGAGTGAATCTCAGTTTCTCATATCCAGATCTCAGCCTTCCCATTGTACTGTATGGCCTCCAAATGAGAATACCCAGTTTTTTTTTTCCTGCAAATACATTACAAGGTGCCATAACTGAAGGCTGTTTTGCACTAAATGTGAAACAGACACACCTTTAAACATGGTTAAAGATACAATCCATGTTCTATGAAGTATAACAGACAAACTTGGAAACAGACGGAGCTTGAACTGGTCGCTTTTTTAGGACTACAATGCAGGGTCAAATTTCTCAAACTACATATTGTGGGTGTTGTAATCCAAAATAGTGATTCCCCCACACCTGCAAGGTGTGATAGTCATTATGCTGAAGTAAGATCCATAGGTGTGCTGGGCTTCATTAAAGGAAACCCGTGGGATGTACAGTAAATAGTTTTGGATTTATACAAGAGAAACCTAGATATAAATCATCCAGAAGCCTTACTAGCTGAACTTAAACTCATGGTTTAAGCATAGTTTGCCTGGGGATTTTGCATCCTAGAAAATGGAAGCTAGACATAGTAATAAATTGAGATAAGTCAAGAATTAATAAGAGAAGTTTGCATAAATCCCCCCCCCAAGGAAGAGTTGGGGCTCCCCAGTTTAAGGCTATACTATATAGCCAGTCTGGTAAGGGACATGCCATATATGGTATCTCAGTCCAACAAATTAATTTTGTTGAATATAGAAACACAATAATTGCATTTGGACCTTGTAAATACTGTACTCTTTTCACACAAGATAATAAACATATAGTTAAAATATACAACATTCCTTCTTTTAAAATATGTTTTTAATTTGGAATAGCTAAAGGTAAAGGTTCCCCTTGACATTTAGTCCAGTCATGTCTGACTCTAGGGTGCAGTGCTCATCCCTGTCTCCAAGCCATAGAGCCAGCGCTTGTCCATAGACAGTTTCCGTGGTCACGTGGCCAGTGCAACTAGACACAGAACGCTGTTACCTTCCCACCAAGGTGGTACCTATTTATTTACTTGCATTTTTACATGCTTTCGAACTGCTAGGTTGGCAGAAGTTGGGAACACGTGACGGGAGCTCACTCCGTTGTGTGGATTCGATGTTATGACTGCAGGTCTTCTGATCTTGCAGCACAGAGAGTTCTGTGGTTGAACCCACAGCGTATAGATATAGAAAATTAATTATTCCACAAGTATCCACATAATATCCAGTGGCAGAGTTGGAGAAATTCCAAGAAAACTGAAGAGACTGAGAACTTATTAATAAAGTGGCAAGTTATTAGAATAATGGATTGTTTAGAAAAAATAAAACATAAGGATCAAATAAAAGAAGTGACAGGTATGGATAAAATATCTTGATATAATATTATTCAAGCAGAGCAGGGGGTAAAGAACTGAGTAAAAAGAAATGATAAATGCAGGGAATCTGCAAAATATGAGAGAATTATATTTTAAAAGGAAAGTGAAGGGGAAAACAATATAGCAAAACATATACATAATATGTAAAATTTGTCATATATTCAGGAGGGCTCAAATTATTATGGGAACATGATATAGGAAAAGAAGTATTAGTGCTTGGAAAAACATAGAGAACAATAGAAACAATCGAAATATATGTTAGTACGGAAAAACTTGTATAACTCAACAAAGCCTGGCTCCCAGCACTGAAAAATACAGCCTGCAAAAGGTCAATGATCTCTACCCAGCCACAAGAATTGTATCAAATGATTATGTAATGTTCTTGTGTTTTATTGTTTTATCCTATACTGGAAGCCGCCTGGAGTGGTCGTATAAATCAAATCAAATCAAATCAAATCAAATCAAATCAAATCAAATCAAATCAAATCAAATCAAATAAATAAATAAATAAATAAATAAATAAGAACCCATGGTCACTGCACACAAAAGAACAGCTAACGACACCCATCAATCACAGTGACAGATCATCTCCCCTTTATCAGAACAATACACCCATAAGAAAAAACACCCTAATCACTCAATCTCCTGAAAAGTACAAGCAGCTGATACCACAGCTATAAATACTCAACTATCCCACAAACTACACGAGAACACAGACAGAGTTCTAACTCCTGTTCTCTGAAGATGCCAGCCACAGAGACTGGCAAAACATTAGGAAGGAAAACCTTCAGAACACAGCCAAACAGCCCAAAAAGCCTACAACAACCAGAACCTGTATAAGTTGGTCTTTAACTAACTAATAAGTTAGTTAACTAACTAATAAGTTAGTTAAGTTAACTAACTAATGAGTTAGTATTTAACTCCAGTGAAATTAAACCAAATACAGTGGTACCTCGATTTATGAACGTCTCCATTTACGAACATTTCGAGTTATGAACAGCTCTATTTGCAAAATGTTTCTTCGACTTGTGAACGGATCTTCCACATAGGAACGAAAAAAAACCTTTCCCGCCCTTTTTTTGACCTAAGTTCATCTTAGGTCAAAAGAAGAAGAAAAAATTCTCCCCCTAGGGGTAGAGTATGGATTAACCAGCTTTGCATTAGTTCCTATGGGAACTAATGCCTCTTCTGTACTTGCGAACAGCGCCTCGACATAAGAACGAAAAATAGCCGGAACGGATTAAATGGTTTTCAGTGCATTCCTATGGGAAATTTTGCCTCGACTTCCAAACTTTTCAACGTACGAAGGCCATTCCAATAACTCGAGGTACCACTGTAGATGGTAATTATTCTAAGATGTGCTGGAGAGCATGCCAGAAAGTAGGTAACTTATTTTCATATGTGGTGGGAATATTGGAATTTTGGTAATTGGTTTTTAAGAAAATAAATGAATAAAAGCAAGCTAGATTTAGCTTGTATGTCCTAAAATGGTACGTTTATCAATATTTGAAAAGGTGCAAGGACAGCTACAGAATTAATTTCCAATTTGATAACAAGCATCTTGTATAGATTTATTTTGCTAATACCAGTCAGTCATGAACCCAGTACTACGTACCCCATCAAGATTCCCCTGAGTTTATTTTTTAAAGCATATGAATTTCTTTTCTTAAAAATTCTGTTGTCCAGAGTTGTTCACAAAAGTCACAAAAATACAGTAGCTGAACCAAGACAAACATCTCCATGGCCAATTGTTTGTTTGGGGAACAAATATCTCACCGTGCTCATGATTAATCCCCAAGATTAAAAATTGCCACCCCCAATTAGTTTATGGCCTGTCTAGAAAATCCTGGAAAGGTTTGCCGACTCAGGATCAATCTGACAGCATGCAATTATTACTAGTTTATAAAGTTTATATTATAGAGATCAAGGAGCTTAAGCTTTATTCTGTTTCCACGTGATATGTACACAGCAGCAAGGGAAAGCATTTTGCACATGCTCTAAGTCTAAAGCACTGACTGTATTGTGCTGTTTGCATTTTGAAATAATGTCATTAACACCTTAATATCCAAGGAGGAAGTTAGTATTCAGATTTTGCAATGGAACAAAACTAACCAGTTGCATGTTTTTGGGGTGGACACCCTCCCCAAAGGGGCAGTCTTGAGAAATGTTCTATCCATCCTCAGAAAGGCACCAAAATAACCCCTTTTAATTTGTTAGGCCTCATGAAAAAAATAAAGCTCAGCAAGCCGGCAACACTACATGCATTTATTTGCCAGGGAAAAAATCTCCATGAAATAGTGTGGCATTTAATTTATTGGATGGGGCTGGTAAGTGCCGAGAATCTGTTTCCAGGTGCAATTCAAAGTGCTGGTTTTAACCGATAATGCCCTAAATAGCTTGGGCCCAAGCTATCTCAAAGACGGTGTCTCCCATTATGAGCCTCCTGTGGTAGGGAGATGCGTTCCTCTGGGTCCCACCCCATTTACAGACGGTGAGGACAGTTGCTTCTCCCAGCCTCTGGAACTCCCTGTCACTGGAGGCTAGGTTGACCTTGTCTTTGCTATCCTTCCACAAGCAGGCAAAGATCTTTCTCTTCAGGCCAGCTTTCCCTCAGTGACTGGCTGCCTGAGTGGGGCTTTTAAATGGCATGGTCTGCCTTACTCCTTTGACTGTGGCTTTAGCATTGCTTGTATTTATCATTTCTCAGAGTGGCCTTTGTTCCTTTCAGTATTTCTATACTTCAGTGTTTTCGGCTTTAAACATTGCCTTTTAATGATGCCAGATGCCTTTTTATGCGCATTGTTTTAGCTTCAACTGTTGCCTTTCAATGATGTCAGCCACCTTGAAGGGTCCTTTTTTTTTTTGGAAGGAGAAAGGCGAGGTAAAAACCTTTTTTAGATAAATAAAATTAAATCAGTTCTTCAGCTCCCCCACCCCCGAGTTCCCTTTCTTGAAAGGAGGAACCACCACCCAACGATGCCTGATGTGGGATGAGTGGAAATGCTGCCATCCGAAGCGAACTTCGTCGAGGTGGGGGGTGGGGGGCAGGCGATCTCGATTGAACTCCATCGGATCGCCTCCCGCAGAAGCCCTCATTGCGGCGGCCCGAAGACA